TTGAAAATGAAGATACCTTGACTCCACCCCAGCGATTCTGGTCAGGTAGATATCGTATGGGCTCTGGAAAAACTTTAAGTATTGCACACCATCTTCCTAGAAAAAGGCACATTTGCACCTACTTCCAAGTTTACCAGTGATCTTAAGGGAGCATTTCAGAACCCTGTGGCATTAGCTGAGTACAATTTTCCTCAGCACTGGCTGCATATTACAATCACCAAGGGAATTTTAAAACAATATTTCAGACCAATTAAATCATAGTATGAGTGGTATAGAGTGACTAAACGGTCTGCATGGTTTTTTCCCCCAACCCAGAATGGAGAGTAGAGATTTTTCCCAGTGTATCAATCTATTTTACTGAATTAGACTCACTTGACAGATACCTAACAAAAGTGATAATAAAAAGAAGCCCACTTACCCTATAAATCTTACAAAATGCACAGTTTAATTTGTGTATTGGTGAGAAGGCACATCATTTTTGGCATTGATTTGTCTTTCTCTCTTCAAAGGTTCAAAGGATTTAGTGGACTTTATACTCTGTTTGATAGATAGCCCTCCCAAGCTTGGGAGAAGAAAAGCAAGGCTCTTTTTATAATTTATGGTGACAAGGTGAGTGTTTATTGTGATATTTTAGTTGAAGAAAATCTAAATACACATGCGGAACTTCACATTGACTGTAAGTTTACTATATTTTAATATTTAACGAGAAGTAAATATTCATTATGAATAAACCCAGAGAAATGGTTAAATGGGCAATTTTCTAGATGTTATCTGAGGAAAGTCTTTTTAATTCTTTTGATTAGGAACATGTCATGATGAGCAAAGTAGTCGATAGAAACTTTAATTTAGTGACACTGACTGATAAGGTTTAAAAAATTTTTTGAGACTTTTGTATTATAAGGAAGAGGAGACCTATAATCAGTGATAGAAAAACCATGTTGGAAATGACTGTAATCTAGCTTCTTTGAAGTGGTTCCACTTATAATAATACTCATATAGACATTCAAAGCACTGGCAATAATAGGTGATTTAATGATGTTCAAAGCCCTTGAGGAAATTCATATAGGCTAAGAAATTTCCCCAAGGACATGAATTTAATAATTATGATCATTTCTTGTGCTGATAACCCTTGAGTTAGAATTTCTGCTGCCAGAGACAAAGTTTTAGAAACTCAAATTGTGAAAATTAAGTGTCAGGAGTTTGCCTAATTCAACATGTATGTATGAGTTATAGTCCATTTGTGTACAAGAATGGGCTTCCAAGTAAGCAAAGGGCTGTTGTCTCAGCTCAGAGAGCTTTGTCTCCCAAATTGGATGAACCTAATGGCATATGGCAGAGCCTAGTTGAATACCAAAAAAAAAAAAAAAAAAAAAAAAAATTTTTTTTCAGAAGTTTTACCTTTTTGTTTTTGCTGTTGGGGTGGGATTGTTTTTTTCTTTGTAAAAAATTGAGAAGATTTTCAAGCTTCTAATGAAAGCTCGGTACTTTTTTATTGGCTGGTGGAGAAGGATTCACCGGGTTTGGAAGTTTGCTGGAATCCATTTGTAGTAGGAGAGATTGAAGTGTCATTGAACTGTAGATGTGCTATCAGTCTAGGCCGCCCTCCGAGACCTCGGAGAAGCCAGCACTCTTGAAAGGGGAAGGATGGAGTTACGGGCTACGGGCTTTGGGCTTCGGGGAAGGTGCAGCCTTGCGGGTCCTGGGGCCGCCCCCGCCGGCAGTGGTGCCATGTGCTCACTCTCCAGCAGCCCTCCCGTTTCTGATCTCTGCTGTCCAGCGGGCAGTTCATCGTTATCCCCATCTTGCAGAGGAGGAAATGGTGGAGACAGGGCTCATATGCAGACAGCTCTGCCTCCTGAGCCCTTCTGCTTTCTGTCCCATCCTCTTCTGTCTGTTCTCTATAATCCCTAAGACTCCTTGCTTCACTAGAAGCTAGTCACTGCATTGTGGGGCAACATTTGTAGCATTGGGCATCTCTCCTGGCCCAAAAGGCCATTCTCCCGTTCTCCTTTTGAACTTAGTTTGCCTCCTTGTAACTTCCATTTTACTGGCTCCATGGGAGAGATATTAAGGATAGATTTAAAAGGGTAAGTTAAAAAAAAAGGGAGCATTGAGAACAGGAACGTAGGCTGCCACGGAAGCTGGAGAGAAGGCTCTGTGTCTGGGGCAGACAGGAAATAAGCACAGGAGGCTATTCCATTTTCTCCTCTGAAATCTGAGTTTTCATTCTCTGATGGTGTGCGTGTGGCTGCGTTCAAAGACGGGGGTGTTCTATTATCCAGTCAGCAGGGGGAGCAGTGAACTCAAAGTGACATCCCGTGGGGAGAGAAAGGCCATCTACTCAGCACCGTGGTTTATGAGTAGGTGTTCTTATTCTGCCTGGCATTAATAGATTCCATTAAAAAAAATTGTTTCTGCTTTTTTTCCCCCATGCTGTTGACGGTTAATTAAGTCATTGGGCACCAAGAGCACTGCTGCCCTAGAAAAAATTCACTTTAGCAGCATTTTGTGTTTGTGAATTTCTTTAAATATGTAATGAATTGCAATTTTAAGGATACCTTTCTAGAATCCATGAGGATTGTTAATTCTGGCCAAAATTATTCTTATAGCTTGGGCTCAGAATAATAGCTCTGTTTGGGAAGAGCCAGATGAGGAGGAGACCCTTGGTTCTGAGATGATTTGAAGGTCCTGAAGAACATGTTCCAATTATTATCCTTACAGTCTTTTATAGTACCAGGAATTGCAATCTGTTTTAAGTTAAACTTCTTTTAAAAAATTAACATAAGCATATTTCACCTAAAAAGAATAACTCATTAATCAGTCTCCATTACTGAATTTGTTTCTTATTTGTTCGTGGACAGGTGCACTTTGATATCGGAAAGTCCAACTCTGGGTCCTAAAGCATCTGCCAAGCTTTGTTAAAACACAGGAGAGAGGGCCCAGGGCAGGAAAGTGGAAGAAGGAAAGAGATAAACCTCAAGTTTAATGTGGGTCAATGCTGGTTGGTTCTCTCGGGCCTTAGGACAAGAGAAGCAGCATGTTCCGGGTGTGAGACCCAAGATGAGAGATGAAAGTCATAGTTCAGGAAAGCCCAGGGTTTATTAAATAAGGAATACCGCCTTTGTGCCGTAGGTCATAACATGATTTTGGGGCATGAACCCTTTTGAAGTATCTGAAGAAAGTTGTGGATCCTCCCCCCGAGAAAAATGCACATACACACAAAATTTAGCACCCTATTTCAGGACTTCACTGATGTTCTGCCCTCCCCTGAAGCCATCGTGAATCCTTGTTTAGGGCACTAGTCTCTCCAACAGGGGGTGGGAATGTGTGTGCATCCCAAGGGTGTGTAACACAATCCACTGGAGTATGGAATTTTCTATTTGTATTTATTTTCTCTCTTTTAAAGGCTTTTCTTTTCCATGTAGGTTTTACATTGCACATCATACATTAGTACCATAGTACATAGTACGTGCATAACATTTATATATAAATAGATTAACAAAATTCATTATAAGGGCTCACATTTTTTACTGACGGGGAGGCATGACTCAAAATGGATCAATTACCAATTTAAAGAGAGGTGCTAATAGAATTTAAAATCTAGGCTCTGCTCTCCCTACATTGGAGGGCCAGGGATAGATTAACTCAAGAGGGGACAACAGGTGACTGGAAATTTTGGACCTAATCATGGCACGTAACGTTTGCCCACACTTCATGAGGCACGTTCGCGTCTGCCCCATTCGGTCCCCCCGGCGGTTCCGTGGACTAGGGAGAGCAGGTATGTTAACCAAATTCTTAGAGAACTTACGAGACTTTCCCAAGTGCCCTTGGCCAATCGGTGGTGGAGCTGGTGCACATAACCTCGGCTGCTGACCACAAATTATGTGCTTATTTCAACCAGCAGCAGGGATAAGTCGATCATTATGGGCTGTCGGTGGCCGCATTGCTGCAGTTACTGGTGCCCCCTGCGGACACTGAGTTGTTGAATCCCTGGCTGACCCAGGCACAGGGATAGAAAGCATATTTTAGCTGCTTGATCAGAGGGCCAGGAAGCCGAGCTAACAATTCAGCATTAGCTCTCTCCTGTTGGTACTGTAATACCAACATATTTCAAAACAGATAGAGGGCTCTGGAAGGGTTTAGATACATCTATGTACAAAAAAGATTTACAGTGGGTTATTAAATGGGAGTTTTGAGGCTGGTTTCTCAGGAAGTGCCAACCACTCTTTCTCCCAAATTTCCCTTGGTGCCCCTGTCAAAGGCAAAGTACTCATCTAGATGGATTGTTGTTCTGACCCAAAACGACATTTCCAACTTCTCTTATATATAATCCAATTTCTGAACTTCTTTTTCAGTGATATTAAGTGGAATAGCAGAAAACAGTATTTTGGCATTAAAGATAATAAATGTGTTCTGCATTGGTCAGGTGTCCTTGCTCTTTGCCAGTGCATTAGCTGTATTGATTTTAGAATTTTAAATGACCCTTTTTACCAGACTTGATTAATGTCTCGTCCCCCAATCTTGGCTACCTGCTCCTTCCTTTTCTCATATGCAATCTTCTTCCCTCTCAGACTGGCACGAGTTAGAGGCGGCTGACCTTCATAGGACCAAGGGTCAGGAAATGTTGTGAGGAGGGTCCCTCGGGCCCAGTGATTAGCCTCTAAAGGGTAGGGGGGCGGGGGGCTGGTCATGCAAGGGTCAAGCCTCCAGTACTCGGCCCAGGCCCCGGGAACACTCACAGTGGACCTCCTGGCTTGGTAAGTACCAGACAGTTCTAGTATGTGGCTTCCAGAGAAGAAACCTCTGGCCAGATAGAGGCTTTGAAAGTGAAATGAGATCTCTGGCAAAAGCTGGCCAACTAAACCCAAATGTCACTGTTGCTGTGTGAAGCTAAGATTAATTTTCTGTGATTCCCTCTCATTAATTAATAGTGTCCTCCACTATCCTCAGAGGACACTTTGTTTAATATTGTGTTCACACATTATTTTATTCTCTCTCTGCAGCCGAATTGCGGAACCCCCTGAGGCTGCTGCCGCCTGGTATGTATGGCTTTGTGCACCCCTCCCCGGGGCCCCCCAGTGTGGCCGGGTCACAGTAAGTGATGACTCTGAGGCTGGGCTTTTCCTTCTCTTTCAGAAGAGAAGTGGGTGGGAGGTGGACCACTCTTGCCCTGGAGATGGCCGCTCCTCACTCAGGATTGTTTTCACTTGCTTGCTGCTTATTTCTTTTCATAATATTTTAAGGGTAAATTTGTTGTAAATGATAGAGGTGATATAACTACATTACAGCAAATTTGGAAAATTTAGACATAAAATTCACTCCTATCATTACTCCATGAATGCACCTAATCTTAGCATTTTGATCTATATGTTTGATAGATTTCTAATGACAGTGTACTTGAATGTGATATTTTAAAGATTATAACATTCCATTCTAAGCTTTTTTTTTGTTTAATCATCCTCATAAATGTTATTGGGATATCAAAATATATTTTTCACTCTTCCTATTGTTGTCTATTAGGTATACCATTGTTCATTCCTCATTAGTATTGATTGGATATACCATCATTTATTTCCTCATTGTTATTTATCAGATATACCATTGTTTTTTGAACTATTTTCCTGTAATCCCACACTCCTGATTAAATGATGATCAACGTAACAATAAAAAAAATTTAAAGAAAAAAAATAATAGCACTAAAGTGAGAAAAAAATGTACGTCAAAATGACCAGTCTCATAAATTATGGTTTGTACATTAAAATAATATTATGCAGGTACTCAACTTGCTATTGCAGAAATATATGAACTGACATAATTTCTGTGATCACATGTTTTTGTAAAAATAAAATGGATGTGATATATAAAAAATGATTATTAATGCCTATTGGCTTAAATCTGCCTATTTGGATTCAGTTTGACAAAGAGCATTATTAACATCTAGCATAGTATTTGGCTCTCAGCTGGTACTCAGGAAATGACTTCTTCCTTCTTCATTTTTGCCTTAAGACAACTTTCTTGGACTGTGGACCTGAGGGCATAACATATTGAAGAAACCCAGCAATTTCTAACTGGTTATCATGTAAGTTTGTGCTGGCCATTTCAGTTAATTTGTTGGGAGCACTTGTATTCTGATTACAGGGGTTTCATTTTCTTTGTGTCATTTGGTAGGTATATTGCTTCATTCTTGCCAGATACAAAATGTTAGAACTTCGAAGGGCTGTGGAAATTACCGTATCCAGTGGTTTCCAAGTGGATGCACAACACAATTTTGCAAGGTGCTTAAGAATACTGATTCCTTACTAAATCTTAATTTGGTGGTTGAGGACTGGGAATCTGCATTTTAAAAAGCATCCCTGTGTTCTGATGCAGGTGGTGGATGGACCATAATTTGAAGTTACCGTTTGGTTAATAGACCTTGCTGATTTTTTAGAGCTGATGTTAGATTTTCATCATGTTCAGTTTTTTGCTTTTAAAACTAATTGAATCTTGAGATGACTTATTTCAGGAGGCAAATATTACAATCACAATTATGTTCTGCAACAGGAAATAAGCTCTAAATGAATCTTAACATTTTACTTGACACATTACTATGTTTAAGTGTATTAAAGATGTCATTGAAAGGTGCAGGGGAGGAAAATGAACTTGATTTGGCAGGTAGGTGTTCATGGTACTATTATCCACAACTGTCTGTGCTGATTGACAGCACACACATTACCTCCTAACAGTCATTGTACTCAGTTGCATCAGATTTAAGTGTATGGCATTTTTACTGAATATTTGAAACTGTTTTAGTTAATAGTATTAATTGTACATAGACCAACTTTCAGCCACTGTTTCAAAGTGCTTAATAGATAATAAACCAGAAGGTTCTGTGGATCTCCGCTTAAACTTAGGTCTACAATACCATTTGTTTAAATCTTATGTATTTTGAGTAGGGCAAATGTTTTATAGTTTAGAGGAATCTCCCCCCCCAACCATAGTATAGATAGGGAAATTAAACACAGAAAGGTGAAGTGCTCAAGGTCACTCAGCCACAAGGAGCAGTCAGAATTGGAGCTCAGATCTCCTGGGTCCTTGTTCTCTGCTCTTTCTACTAGACCAAATTGCCTTTTTTTTGCATAGTTTCTAATGAGAAACGCTCAGTCTAATGGCTGGTAGAGATGCTATAATCCATATTTATATTGCGAAGAGCATCGAAGCAAGGAATTCTACTCAATATTTTCTTTTGGAAAACCAAACATGCTTTATTTCATTTTTTTCACAATTTATTTAAACATCTCACATATACAAAATAGGTACAATTTTTCTGCTTGTCCGAGAAACAAGGCTTCTTTTTGGTACCACGGGAGAGGATGAAAATGAGACTGGCAAAGAAATGCTGAATTTAAAGAAGAGGACAAGGTTGGGCAAGTGATCTGCATACTTTTATTTGGGAATAAGATGTAAAATGCTTATGCTAAATCAAATGAAAAAAGAATACACAGTACAACTCATTACAGAGGATTATTTCTTCTCAAATTCTTCTAGCACCATCAAGGGTCTTCAAGTATCTGAAATACTATTAGCACCTTTGTATTCTGAACAAAACAAAACAAGTACCTCAGCTCATCTCTGTCTAGGTCAGCACCTGATGATGTGGATCACACTCACAGGAAAGTGTTTTGAGGTAGTTTTAAACCTTTGGAAGTTTGGGTTTTAAACTTCCCTCTGCAGAAGATATTCAAAAGCCACAAGTGGTGCAAATGTTCATGGTTTTTATTTTTCAATTTTTATTTTGGTTTTCTTACAAAGGTTGACATTTTCCACAACAGGTGTAAGAGTGTTGAAAAAAAAATCCAAAATTTTTTGGGGGGGGTGGGGGGAGAGGGAATGAATGAAATCATATTGCACTATGCTCTGATCAATCCTTCTTCTCTTTTGCCCACAATTTAAGCAAGTAGATGTGCAGAGGAAATGGAAGGACTCAGCTTTCAGTTAAAAAAGAAGAAAAAGAAATGGCAAAGAGAGAAAGTTTTTTCAGATTTCTTTTCTTTTTTTAATTTAGGTTGAGTTCATTTATTTGAAACAGACGGGGCCAACGTCCACCCTGAATTCTTGGTCAGTATCACCGATGTCCAAAGGTGCAATATCAAGGATAGGCAGGCGGGATGGCTTATTTGTTTTGTATTCAATGATTGTCTTTCTCCATTCATTCGTCTTTTTCTGTTTAAAAAAGAAAAAAATATATATATACATAAAGCAGCACTACTTCTAAATCTAAGATCATCAGCAGAACCTTAGACAGTTAAGAACCACTTTTGGGCCTGTTCATTCTGAGGTGTGTCTCAGATCAACATGTTTATCTTTGAAACAGAAGCATTAGGGGTATTTTTAGGGAGAGAGATTTCCTACCAGTCTAATTTTTTAAAAGAAAATTTCAATGCCTATTCCAAGTGGTTTATTGCTACAATATCATTTTTGGGATAGGTGTGTGTCGGTAGGGAGAGCTGGCTGGGTATGCTGTAAATTTTAATTTTTCTTCAAATGTATAGCATATTGTAGAGAAAAATTACATGCAGACCATACTAATAAGTCAAATAAGGTACATATAGCTATAAATTATACCTTGGGACCTTTTAATCTCAAGTACTTTTAAGTTATGGGCAGACATCATCATTTAACAAACTCATGTTTAAAGAAAAACAGCTAATGCACGGACATGGTATGTATTTCAGCACTTCAGAGAATTTCCAAAGGCAAGATCTGATAAGAATCCTCAAGATTTGCCATCTGAATTTAAATCAAGGTAGGTCTCTCCTTCGCCTGTTCATTCAATGGGTCTAAGCTGGAACTCCAACCCTACTTTCCCCAAATTTCCCTATTACTTACAGAGCAGCCATCTACAAGAACAGTGTAGGTGAACCTGCTGTTGCCCTCGGCAACCAGTTCAACATCATTGGAGCCTTGCAGAATGACAGCCTTCTTTAGGTTGCCAGTCTCCTCATCCAGGTAGGCAATGCTGTTCTTGCAGTGGTAGGTGATGTTTTGAGAGGCATGGTTGGCCAGCAGGCGCATGAAGGCGAGTTGAGTGGCCATTTCCTTGGTGGTTACTCCTTCAGCATTATATTCAAACTATAGAGAATAAGATAGAAATGCTAGTTAAGTGGAGAGGGACTCAAATACTAAGTAAGTCAAAAAAGAGAGCGGGGGGGAAAGGCTGACTTAGGGAGGAATGATGGACTCAGATCTGAACCTTGGGGAAAAAGGTACTTTTACAGGAAACTCAATTCACTTGTCTGTGCAATATTAATTACCTAGAAGGCACCTAGGAACTACCAGGCTGAGGCAAGATCATCTCATCTCAAAAAGGTACCTGTTTTAGATAAGCCTTTACGTGTATGTTTCTTCTTGAGAATAAGAGAGCAAGGAGACAGGGTCAGATCTCTTTCTTTTTCTGTGATTCCCACCAGTAGGCATTCAATAGAGTTGGTGAAGAGATTTGATTAAAAATTCAGAAAAGCACATGTCCTGAGAATACATATGCATGGGCACAGGGCTAGGTGCTGGCCAGCACATCCTCATGCTAAAGGGCATGAGTTTCTCCAGTGATTATCAGTTAAGTCAAATTTGAATAATAACTTTAGATGGTATGGATATGTCCAATCACTCCAGCTTTAATGTGCAGTCCAGGACAGAACTAAAACCCGAGAAAAGAGGTTCTTTTTAATAATCCCACTTTGGTAAAGGATTAAAATGCAGATCATTAAAAAGCAAACAATCTTAACATTCTTTAGTAGGAGAAGGGCTGTTTGTAGGATTCCTCACCTGGGTACCACCATTGATAGTTTCTCCTAACCAGATGTGCTTCTTGACCTTGGAATTTCTGTACCAGTTCTTGGCTGGGATGTTTTCAGGTTGAGCCCGGATGCAGGTTTCGCCAGTAGAGAAATCACAGTATACTTTGATAGCATCCATAGTGCATCCTTGGTTAGGGTCAATCCAGTAGTAACCTTTAAAAAAAGAAACAAGACCCAGCTCATAAAACCTCTCCTTGAGTGCAGCAGAGGTTCTAATAATTACTAGACAAAGATTTTTGATCCCCACATCTAATAGGGAGAGGATGGATATTTTTAAGATTAGACAGTTCCTCCTCTCTTGTCCTCCATGAAAAAAAATCAAATCAGAGTATGTTACCACAAAAAAGGCAAAAACTCATATTAAGAGAAGCCTGGGACTGGGTGCTGGCTGGGAGAAGAAAATGCTTTATTAGTGAGGTATGATTCCACATAATGCAATATTTACCCCAAACTTTTTCGTTCTAAATGTCAGTGGGAATGGACTTGTCAAAGCCCAGCTTGTAAGAAGGGCCGGTCCGGCTTGGACATCCTGACTTACCGCTGCTCCACTCTGGGTGGCTGAGTCTCAAGTCACGGCATGTGCGAGCTGGGTTCTTCCTAGAGCCTTCAGGAGTAAGAAGGGTCTCGATCTGGTTGTTGAGGGATTTCAGAGTAGCATCAACTTCATAATCCTTGGGTCTGAGAGAAGGTGGTGAGCGAGGCTGGTCAGCCCTGTAGAAGTCCCCTTCATAACCAAAGTCATAGCCGCCACCACTCGGGCCAGGAGGGCCAGGAGGACCAGGGGGGCCGGGAGGGCCCTGCAAAGGTGAGAGCGAGAAAGAGGAGGTTTCATACTTGGTCACGGGGACAGATGTCAATGACAGCCGACTGTCAGTTGAGTGTTACACACAAGCACGTTCTAGTAAGTAGAAGAGACTAACTCGACCCCAGGCATGCTGGAGGGGATGGGCTGAAACAGCTCCTTCCATACCATGGCTACACGGCTTAGAGCTGACACATGGAAGTGGGGGACTCCTTGAGTGTGCTGTCTCAGCCATCTTGGGTTTGTCTGAGGAGAACGTTATTTCCCAGAACGGTACTTACAGCAGGACCTTGGCTCCCCTGAGAGCCACGGACGCCAGCAGGGCCAACTGTACCGGGATGTCCGGTGCGACCGTCCTTGCCAGCAGGGCCGGAAGGACCAGCAGGGCCCTGGGGAAGAAGGACACCAAGTCTGAGGGAGTCAGTAAAAACCCCACAAGGAAGGAGGGGCCTGGGGCTCCCTCCCTGCCATAAGCTCTCATCTCAGAGACCAAGGTCTCTTAGGTTGACCTACCCTAGGACCGGCAGGCCCCACAGAACCAGGTGCACCTTGATCGCCATGTTGACCCTTGAAAGAAGGAAAATCACACTTTCAGAACACATGTCGACAAACAGATTTTTTTTTTTAATTGAATGGAAAACTTTAGTTTCAATGGACTCTGGATTGAGAAAATTGAAAATGTAAAAGGGGGCTCTTTTCTCCCATTATGTCTATTATATTCAATTACATTTTTTTTCTACAGGCTATTTCAGCAGTGCAATATTAGTCATTCCTCTAATTATATTTATTTTAAGTGGGGTTGAAGGACATTGTTGCCAGGAGATTTTAATATATGTATATTTCGATCTCCCTTAACCCTCACCTTTTTGTGTTGGGATGAAATAGCATTATCTCTGTGAGATGCAGTCAGCCAGAGAATGGGAAATGAATACGACGTAGTTCATTTTAGAACAAGAGCAGTGAAAATTTGAGGAAGGCCATTTAAGATCTGTACACATGCAGAATGTCCACGCTTTACTTACAGCGAGACCAGGAAGACCTTGCAGTCCATTATGGCCCTTTAAGCCAGGAAGACCTCTGGGCCCCTTGTCACCAGGCTCTCCCTTATCACCTCGAACACCTTGTGGGCCCTGTAAAGAAAGAGGAGGACAGACAGGGCATTTTACCTTCCCTTGAAAACGACTCTCACTTCCCCACCAGTATTGCTTTATCTGTTTACAGAGCTAACTCAAGCCATGCGTAGGTTTAAACGCCACGTGGGTGTTACACCCATCTACTCCCCTAATCTGCTTTCATTGAGCCCTCCGTTAAGTGGCTAGATTTTGGTGATTATTTAATACAAACAGCCAGAAGAGATTTGAAATGGAAGAGCCTTAGAAGCTATATGTAGCAATTCTCAGCATGGACTGAATTTTTTAAAAAATATGAGGTCTAGCTTATATATTTATTTTCTTCATGGACAGTCTGGACCGAGTTTCCTTAAATGTTCATTTGTGAAGAAATCGTCATCATGTACGTACACTAGGGCCTCTCGGGCCGGCAGCACCGACTGGACCCACAGAACCAGCAGGACCCTGCAAATTGGAGAAGCAAAAGCGAACTCGTCAGCCAAGCCCAAGCCCCTCCCCCCAACCCCTCCAACCCCCCAGTTCCCGAGTGTGCGGAGGTCAGAGTGAAGCCTCGGAAGGGGACAGCACTAAGGGACTGGTATTTACGAACTCACGGGTTCACCACGGTTTCCGTGTTTGCCAGTGGGACCCACGGGGCCGTGAGGACCAGGTGCGCCCACAGCGCCAACGGGACCGATGTTGCCAGGGTAACCACGCTCTCCCTACCAAAGGCAAAGTGAAGTTTAGCATCCACTGGCCTGGGTTTTAGTCACTTTTAAATTGGAGAAAGACAAAGAGGTGTGCTGACCTTGTGTCCGGGTTGACCATCGCGGCCTGGGGGGCCATCGTTCCCAGGGTTGCCCTGTGAAGATACCACACCAATTAAGGTGCTTCATGAGGCTCTCTACCCCACCAGCCCCTATAGTTCAGCTTCTCTGTCTTTATCCCTCCCAGTGCTCCGCAGTGAACCCCCCGTCAGACCATCACACAGGCCAGTTAGAACTTGCCAGCCTAGTTTTCTTAGAGGTGTCTTTAGTATTTTGGCCAGATCTGAAGTATACCATTTAAAGAGCCACCCCCTGACCCCCTAGCCCAAGTAATTTTTCACATTTTCAATAGCAGGAGTGGTCAAGACCCATAGATACTATGGGGAAACAGACTATCTTGTTCAGAGACTTGGAACAGGAGGAACTCAGCTGGGGACATGAAGTCACACACAATGGGCTACAGTTTGCTTCTACAAACCACACGTCAGACTCACATCACGACCAGCTTCGCCAGGAGCGCCGTTCACTCCGGGTGCGCCCACAGCCCCGGGGGGCCCACGAGCCCCAGACGGGCCAGCGATGCCGAGAGGTCCGGGTTCACCCTAGACGCGGAGAAGAGGAAACATTCCTCTCATTGGATCGAGTGCAAGTCTCACCCTCCCAACACAACCCTGGCTAGGAGATTCCATTTTGAAAAGAGAAAGTGCAGGGGGGGGGGAGGGGCCACAGAACGGCCAGAAGCCTCGTTTGTGTTATCCTCGGCCTCATCCTACGCACGCGGATGGCTGGCTTTCTGTCATTTGGGAACATTGCTCTGTACTAGGTGAGCCTAGCTGCATTTGCTGTCCCCAATGAAATGAATTCACAAAGTTGAGAGAGTTTACGGAGATGAGAGGATTCTTAGGTGCTGTCATGTATAAGATTTAACGGAATGATTCCGAACTTCCAGAGTTTCATTCTGCCTACAGGATAAATGTTGCCAGCATCTCATGCTGCAGAGGAGTAAATGCAATTAGAGCTTATATAGTTCTTAAGCATGTAAAAAGAACAAAAATCATTCTGCATAATGTTAAGCTGTATCTTTATAGCGTGTGTCTAAGTAAGGTGGTATTAAAGCTTCTTAGATAAGTGACATGTGATCTGTATAAAGAAAATGCCATGAATAAAAAATCTTAAGTGGAGTTATTCAGTGATCAATCTGTCACATCTGAAGTGGCAGCTTTTAAAATCTTTTATTATGTTAATGAGAAGAAGAATGGTGTCAAACACTTACCA